GCCTCCAGCCTCAGGTTTTGGGTCTTTCTTGCTTCCTCCTCAGAAGGAAGGCCCTCATGTGTAGTGTGGGGGGCCTGGTCTGGGAGTCTTTAAGTATGGCTGTAATGCCCTGTTCAACCTGAACTACTCCCTTAGAGGGTGTACATGTTACAGAACCAGAACTTTGTTGCCCAGTCCCCTGGGACTGAATTACCTCACCTGTAAATTGGAGATGCTCACATGCTGGCCTCACTCTTGGGCTCTTTCGGAATCAACTGTTCCAATTTCCCTCCCTTCCACCAGAGGCTCTTGGGTCTCTTCTTCTGTTCCTGGTCTCAGAAGGAAGATAATGCTTCTTACTTTTCAGGCCTCCATCCCTTTCCCATGTGCCCGTCTCCTGCACCTGCTCCAGGCCTCACTTAAGGGCTCTGTCAAGACCCATACCTCTTCAGTCTGGGAGTAACTTCACTCTCTTTGGAATAGAACAGCTTCCATCTTGCTTTCCTTCACACATTCCCATCCTTTTCTGGCCTATCTCAGGATGGTTCCTCCATCCACACTTCCTGCTCACACATTTGCTTGTGAGTGCTTTGCCATTTGGCTTCAACCACCTCCCCGATTCCCAAAGTGGAAGCATCAAGAACACAATATTTGGAAGGGGGAACTTGAGATTCAGTCTATGATCTATCTCCTAAGAGCTATGTGATTTGTGGTGGGTTTCCAAGACATGCAGGAAGCCCATGTGCAGCTCAGAATGAACTAACACATGTGACCTCCAATTATTCTTTCTCTCTCCTCATCCAGTTCACCTGTCCCTAAATTCTCTACACAACCTCCAAAAGTCTGATATACAATCCACCTATCTGGTGACAGCACCTCAATCTGCATCTCTGTCACACACCCCTGTACTGGACTCCACCTGAGTCCCAGAGTCATAAGGACATCTTCCCACAGTCAGCCAGTCAGCCTCTTGAGTTTAACTAAATAAGTAAATTTATTCAATTTACTCATTCTCACTCATGCTCAATTTATTAAAAAGCAGGAGCTTACAGCTGTCAAGAGGAATAAAATGAAGAAAGAAATTTGACATTCCAAAGATGCATCAAAGCAGCACATTCTATTGTGCTCCATTATTGTGAATTATACTGAGAAGTACCTAACATCTGTAGCACTGGGAGCCTCTAGAAGTCTCAGCTCAGTACTGGATATAACCTTTATCCAAAGAACTCTTGCTCTTGAACATCATTGTCTGCTAAGGTCAGCCCCTGTCTCTACTCACTCAAGAATTTGCCTCAAAATATTCCTCCACTCCTCTCTGGTGGCCCCATGTTGTTTTTCAATCCTGACCCTCCTGCCCAGCCATGGCTAGTCCTTGCTAGCCTGGTTCATAGCAGTCATTTCCTCTTAACCATGGGCCCATCATTGGTCCCACTCCTTCCCACTCATGCTATCTTCTACCATGCATCATGTCCCCAAAGCACATACCCGAATGTACCATGCTCCTATTTATATAGTCATGGTGTGTCTCCCCCACCCAGTCACTCTTAACCAAGCCCAAACTCCCTGCTTGCAAAGTCAAGGGCCTCTATCAGCCCAGGTCCAGCTACCTCCAGTTCCATTGTTCACCATCCATTCCTCACAGACCCTGGGCTCCAGCCAAATCATATTCTCACCATCTGGGGACATATGTTCCCTCTGCCCAAAATAGCATATCCCTATCTCCACCTGTTGAGATCCATCCTTGAAGGATTATTCAATAAATAGTACTAGGACAATTGGTTACTCATTTGAAGGAAATTTTTTAGATTCTTCACTTCGTGCTACACATCAAAATGTATCCCAGATGAACTGGAGTTAAATATAAAACTATAATTACATATATTCAAAATAAAATCATAAAACGTCTCAAAAATGTGGGACTGGGGCTGTAGCTCAGCAGTTGAGTGCTTGCCTCGCATCCGTGAGGCACTGAGTTTGATCATCAGCACCACATTAAAAAAATAAATATATTTTTTAAAAAGTCTCTTAGTGGCTGGGGTGTGGCTCAGAAGTAAAACGCTTGCCTCCCAGGTGTGAGGTACTGGGTTTGATTCTCAGCACCACATAAAAGTAAATCAACAAAATAAAGATACTGCATCCATATACAACTAAAAAATATATTTTTAAAAAAGTCTCAAAAATGTGATTATTAAATATCTGAAAGGGGAGAAAATGCTAGGCTTTTATCAAAGAATAAAATTTCAAAAAAAAAAAACACAACAGATCTGACTCACTAAATAGAACTGACTCATTAAAACCAAACTGATAGGCTGGGGTTGTGGCTCAGTTGTAGAGTGCTTGCCTAGCACATGTGAGGCATTGCGTTCGATTCTCAGCACCACATATAAATAAATAAAATAAAGGTCCATTAACAACTTAAAAATATTTTTTAAAAAATGAACAGAAAGGTAGAGTCATTTGCTTGAACTGAATGTTGGGGTCTCTGACACAGGGAAATCAGAAATCAGAAAGTGGTTTGGTTAGCAAGTTACAGGAGATGGGTGCGTATCTTTCATGAATGTCTAGTGATACTTGACATTGCATTCCTTCCCTAAGAATTTGAAATGTTAAAATCCTCTCCAAGGGTAGATATGTCCAAGACCCAAATTTGACTCTCCTTCTCCTAGAAGCTTGACATTAAACCCACCCTGTCTGCTGGAGGATCTCAACCTGATCTCCATACTTATTACCCTTTTCTGAACTCACTCCTGGGTCCACTTATTAAGTACTCACTATAATTTAGGTATTATGCTAAACATTTTTCAAGGATTATGTCTGACAATCCTACAAGGTATTTTCTTAAATGTAGATCTCCTGAATATCCTCTTTAATTTTTTCTTTTCCAAAACCAGTAACTACTTTATAGACGTATAATCTAAAATAAGCTGTATATATCAGTGACTTTTTGGCACATCTGTGAAACTACTACCACAAAATAAAACTTCCACCCTGAAAGTTCCCTGATGTCCCCGTCCAATCTATCCCTCCCTCTATGCCCAGGCCACTACTTATTTGCTTCCATACACACACAAACACACATATACACATGTACATATTCTTATATAAGGCTTCCAAGAAGGAATAAACTGGAGAAAGAAATTTGACATTCCAAAGATGCATCAAAGCAGCACATTTTAGCAGAGCAGTCTAGCAGAGCAGCTTGAGAATCTCAGACCAGCCCACCCCCACTAGGTGTGTGTGTGTGTGTGTGTATGTGTATATATATATGTGTGTGTATATATATATATATATATACACATATATATGTTTATACATTATTTTCTAATTTTTTAAAGTCATACAGTATGTTTTCTATGGACACACTTTTATTTTCCCTGGGTAAATACTTAGCAGTGGAACAATTAGGCATTATGGCAAGTATGTTCATAATTAACTGCCTAAACAATGTATCCAAGTATCAAAACATCACATGGTACCCTACACATAGGGACTATTACTATGTGCTAGTTAAAATTATTAAAAAACAACCTACTAAACTGTTTTCCAAAAATGTCACTTTACATTCCCACCAGCAGTATGAGAATTCCAGTTTCTCCACATCTTTGCCAACATTTGATTGTCAGTCTTTTTAAATTTTAGCCACTCTATCGTTTAGTGATATTTAATTATGATTTTAATTTACATTTCCCTAAGGATTAGTGATGCCAAGCATTGTTTCATTGTTCTTATCAACTACTGTATATCTTCAGTGGCAAAGTGTCTGTTAAAATATTTTGCCCATGTTTTTATACTGTGTCGTCTTGTTCGTAAGTTCTAAATGTTCTTTATATCTTCTGGTCACAGTCCTTTGTCAATTATTATTTGTTAATAACTACATTTAAGGATGAGGAAACTCTGGCTTGGGAAAATTAATAACTGGTCAATGTCACTTAGATTCAAATCCGGACCGTGAGACTGCAATGCTTCTTTTTCTTTGTCTACATTTCTTTGACACTATTTAAATGGAGCCTCTTTTTATTCTTTTTTGCACCTTAAAGCAAAAGGTAGCATCAAAGTTATTCACATCTATTGATAATGAAATTAAAGCCTAGCAGGGTTGATTTCCTTAACCCTTTAAAATGACTAGTAAGTGCATGGACAAGAAGAGCTTGTTTATTTAACTATGGATTCAAAAATCTCACGTCATTCAACTACCTTCTATATTTTACCCACGATCTTTCCAAATTGTGAATCTGATCACATATGAGATCTCTAGACTTGGGTGTGCACTACAGAGGGCCTTCCTTGAGCTATCATAACCTCCAATGTCACCTACGGTCACTCCACAGACCCAAACACCCCCACCCCAGCTGTCCTCAGCTCCCAGCGCAGATTCTGTGTCCCTATGTACTCCTTCCCATCTGCTAGGTAAGCTCTTCTCCAACCCCCGGGCCACCACAGCTTGTCCTTCAGTCTCGTGTCCTGACTCCTCTTAAGACTCACAGACCCATCAGCCCCCACTTCTGGCTGCTTCAAAGTACGTTTCAGCCCGGTTGCCGTAAAGCTCCAAGAACGGGGCTGCGTCCCGTCCACAGTGCAGCGGGACGTGGGGGCGGGAGCTGAAGGTGCCCGTAGGGCGAAGGGATAAGGACTTTATTCAGGTGTAACAAGAGAACGCGCCACAAGCACTAGGGCACAGAGGTAACTGGCCGATTACTCAGAGGCCAGCAAGGCCCACTCTCACCGAGCCTCCCGCCTGGCGCAGCCCGTGACGTCACACCTGCGCCGCGCCGTCGTGGCGCACGGCGCTTCCGGCCGAGAGGCGGTGGCGGGCGGGCGGAGTGACGTCACGGGAAACCGCGCGCCGGAAGCGGGCCGTGCTGCGCGGAAGCCGCGGGGGCGGGGCGCGGAGGCGATGGGGGGCGGCGGCGGCCGGCGATGAGCGGCGGGCGCGCGTGAGGAGCCGCGGGCGAGGCTGGGGGGCCCCCGGAGCGCGAGCCGCAGGGCGGAGGGCGGGGGCGCGAGCGCGGCGGGAGGCGGCGAGGCGGCGGCCGAGAAGATGGCGGACGGCGACAGCGGCAGCGAGCGCGGCGGCGGCGGGCCCGGCGGCTTCCAGCCCGCGCCTCGCGGCGGCGGCGAACAGGAGACGCAGGAGCTGGCCTCGAAACGGCTGGACATCCAGAACAAACGCTTCTACCTGGATGTGAAGCAGAACGCCAAAGGCCGCTTCCTCAAGATCGCTGAGGTGGGCGCGGGCGGCTCCAAGAGCCGTCTCACGCTGTCCATGGCGGTGGCCGCCGAGTTCCGTGACTCGCTGGGAGACTTCATCGAGCACTACGCGCAGCTGGGCCCCAGCAGCCCCGAGCAGCTGGCAGCGGGCGCCGAGGAGGGCGGCGGGCCGCGGCGCGCGCTCAAGAGCGAGTTCCTGGTGCGCGAGAACCGCAAGTACTACCTGGACCTGAAGGAGAACCAGCGCGGCCGCTTCCTGCGCATCCGCCAGACGGTCAATCGCGGCGGCGGCGGCTTCGGCGCGGGGCCCGGGCCCGGCGGCCTACAGAGCGGTCAGACCATCGCGCTGCCCGCACAGGGCCTCATCGAGTTCCGCGACGCGCTGGCCAAGCTCATCGACGACTACGGCGGTGAGGAGGACGAGCTGACCGGAGGTCCGGGGGGCGGCGTCGGCGGCCCCGGGGGCGGCCTATATGGGGAGCTCCCGGAGGGCACCTCCATCACGGTGGACTCCAAGCGCTTCTTCTTCGACGTGGGCTGCAACAAGTACGGGGTGTTTCTGCGTGTGAGCGAGGTGAAGCCGTCTTACCGCAACGCCATCACCGTGCCCTTCAAGGCCTGGGGCAAGTTCGGAGGCGCCTTTTGCCGGTATGCGGATGAGATGAAAGAAATCCAGGAGCGACAGAGGGATAAGCTTTATGAGCGCCGTGGTGGGGGCAGCGGCGGCGGCGACGAGTCCGAGGGTGAGGAGGTGGATGAGGATTGAAATGGGCAGCTTCCCCTACTGGCCTCCCCTACCCCACCACCATCCCCTTGGCTAGAAAGTTCCCTTTTCTGCTCACCTCCAGTGAGTTAGTGCAGAAGGGAACAAGGGAGGCTGCAAAGGGAGAAAGCAAAATAAAAAATAATATAGTTAAGAAAAATAACCGTAAAAGAACAGTCACGGACAATTAGAGAAAAGCAGTAAAGTTCCAAGGAACTGACAGCAACCTGCAAAGAGAGGACAACAGCGTCTCCTCACCCGCGCGAAAGTCTCAGCTTCTGTTGTTTCCCAACCGAGGTTCCTAAAGCCATCAGGATAACCCTGGAAGGGATAGATCTTCAAACGTCTGGGCCCAAAACACGTCTGAGTCACCCAGACCCACCCATTGATAAAGTTAAGTTTGTGTTGTACCTGGGTAATCTAAAGGTCTCTCCAGGCCTCACTATTGCAGTATCTATCCCTTCACATCCATTGAAATCAGCGTTTTGGATCTAGATCTTAATGGAATCCTTGAGAAGAAAGGCCTTTGCATTTACCCAGTTCTGAGGGTACAGGTTTATGAAAAGGAATGCAACTTCACATAATCATGGACAGGGCAAAAGAATTAAAGAAGCCATTGGAGAATATAGAAACAAATTGGATCCATTTTTTAAAAAATGGTTTTGCATGGAACCTGGACCAAGGCCCATGTCTTTTCTTTGCAGAATTGTTTTCCGGGATGCAGATAAATTCTGATATCAATGCTTGAACTAGAATCCATTACTAAAATAGTTTAAAAGTTTGCAAATTTTTTAAAAATAAAAATTTTACATTGGGGATTGCTGAGGTAGGCACAAGAAGTCAGGCATAAAGCACAAGGCAAACTGTTTGAGTGGATTGGTTGCTGCTCACTAAAGTTCTTCCCTTGATCTCTAAGTATGGAGGTCATTACCAAGAAATGGCTTAGGTATGAATGAGAGCCAGATCCCTATGGCTCCCATATGAGCCAGTGAATTATGGCTAATTCGGCTGTTACAGCCACTGGTTGGCTGCATTTTAAACCGTAAAACTTGACAAATACCTGTTAAAGGAACAGTGTGGCTACAAGCCTGAGCTTTAATGGAATATACATCCTCACAGAAAAGTTGGAAATAACCAAAACTGAAGTCTTAATTTACCTTCAGTTTAATCTGTGGATTTGTTCGATACTAAAGATCCTCAGGTCCAGAATTCCAGCATCATTTATTTTAAAATAAAATTTTAAGAACTTGATCCATTGTATCAGTACCTCACAATCAAAGTTGGCAAATGATGGATGAATGATTCAAGCAGTGCTCCCGGTGGAAGCTGAAATCCATCTGTGAATGGAACTGAAGTGAACGTGAATAAGCTGACTTTATCCTGGAAGCATTTTTATACCATCTTGAAATTTCAACAAACTGGCTTTTGCCAGTTTATCCAGCTGTCTTTCAAGAATAAAAGTTGGGGTTTTCAAGGATCGCCTCTTCTATATTTTAAAAGGATTTTCAGTAGAAATGATTTTTACTAATCAAGTTAATCCCAACCCCATCAAAAGGTATTCCTAAAAGTGTCATAGACCTAGGTAACTTTGAATTGAATGGGGGCTAATGTTCTTTCCAAAGTTTTCAGGTATTCTTTGTGTGACACCTTCTCAACCAGGAGGCAAGTAACCCCACCTCCACAATCTTAGTATTTTTTTTAACTGCATGCCTGCCCTTTATTTGAGCTGCCTTTTTAATTTATTGCATATCCTTTTTATTATCTTATTTTGGTATTATTCAATCTATACAATCTTTTTGTATTTATTGGGAAATAAGTAATATACAAAAAGGTCGTTTCATGTATTTGTGGCTGAGAGGGAGGGAAATAATTGTGTATATAAAATTAGGCTTTTTTAAAACATAGACTATGATTCAGAATATTGTTGATCTTAGATTTAAAAAAAAAAAAAAGTGGAAGAGCCACAAACATTGGTGCCCTTTTCAGACTATTTCTCTACTCTCATCATCCACAGTAGAATTTTTAAACAGATTTTTTTAAAGCTTTTCTTTTAAATTTTTCTCCGTTGCAAAGAATGTTTCCTAAATTGTATGGGAGCAATAGTATTTTTGATGTTTTAATGACATCTGTATACTTGTACTGTATTTTGTACTACAAGGCAGCTGTTTTCAATAATGTCCTGCTGTATTTACCTATGTGTTTTGAGTGTTCATTTCTTTGCTGCGGAGAACAAATTCCTAGTTTTAGTAAAGGAGCTAAGAAGCTAGCATTAGGTTTGCAGAAACTTAAGTTTCAAACTCTGAGGCAGCAATGAAAATTAAGGTTGCAGCTATTAGTTGATTGCTGTAACTTTTTCCTTTTCAAACCATGTACAATTCCTGTATAGACCAACTTGTTTTCTTGCTTCAGTGGTGGTTCTGTTGCTCAGCTGCAGTGAGCCAGTTCAATTTTGCAAAGGTGCAGTACCTCTCCTTTTCAAGGGGTTGGTTTATTTTTTCTTTTCTTTTTGTTTGGCTGAATTGCAGTAACTAGCCTTGCCTTTCTATTCTGTAGAAATGACAGGGTCTTCACAATCCTTCACCAGTGGCTACTAAGCTATAATTAGCTGAATAGAAAGAATGTGGAAGTGGTCTGAGGCATATAGAGTATATGCCAAGAACACTACCATATATGGCATCAGCTTTGGTTACCAGAGAAATTTTCTTAGTCATTAGACCATATAACAGTAATATATCATATGTAAATCTTTAGATATCAATTTGAGAATCCTCCAAAAAAAGGAGCAAAGAATGCATAAGCTATGTGTTGGCAAAAGTAATTTATATTAAAATTTTGACCTGCCTATGTAAGATTAAGTGATAAATGTCATAGTGGTGGGTTTTTAAGTCTTAACCAATCTCTAAGGTTTATTTCTCCTGCAGGGGGTGGTTCATGGCCTCTCTTCCCACTGTAGGAAGATTGCAGAAGGATGTGGATTAATTGTAGCATTTCACTGATCCTTATTCCAGTGACTAGGGGCAATAGAAATCAGCAAAGTATAGAGATTCATTCATAAATATTAGCTTATTGAGAGAAATGGTCTTTGTTGGTTTCACTCAAATAATGGCATTGTATAAACTATGGGAAACAACCAGCTTTTTTGTTTTGTTATTCAACTGCTACTATGAACTATTTAGAGGTTGTGTTTTAATCTGGCAAACATCCCAGATAATCAAAATAGTATATTCCTGAAAAGCAGGGAACTAAAACTCCTTTTAAAATAATTGGTGGAAGGTTTGTTTCTCAAACTACCATTGCTACAGAGATGAGAATTCAACTTTTAGGAACAGAATCAAGAGTAAAAATCTGTGAAGAGATCTTATTACTCCTTTCTGGTTTCTATTGTCCTTACCCATCATTTTAGCAAGTGGAACAGCAGTTCTAGTCAGCAAGTTTTCAGTGCATATGCTGCACAAATCAAAATATAAATCTATATGGCACCAAAAATCTTTAAGTGAAAACCAAACCAAAAACCCAGACACCCTATGTAACTGTTGGAGGCATGTAGGTGGTATAAATGACTGTAGCTGTGATACACACATGGCTACTTGTCATGTCACTTTCCATAATTATTTACTGCAAAATGATTGAGAGGCTTTTGGTGCAGGCAGCCATTAACCTGATTCCTTTGTTACCTCTGGATCACTGTGCAGTAAATTGCAGGTCTTTTTAAGAGATTCAAGCTTCGGTTTTCTCAAAACAAAACAATTATCCTGTCTTATCTGAAAATGCAGGGTTGTGGGCAAAAGAGGCTGGTTATAATAATGCCCTCATATTGAGTGGTCTGTAAACGGCTGCACACTTCAGGCACTAGTTGCTGAGGATGCTTTGTTAAATGTGACCTTGACTGGCTTTACAGGGGTGTAGAATGTAATCTACACAAGATGACTGTTTGCATCTACCTTGCTCTCGAGGTTGATGAAATTAAGAAGCTGGAGTGTGTAAGCCATGCACATAAGTATTCTTCACTGTAAATTTTGTTTTCATTTTTAACCCAATTATGGTACTTTGTCCAATGCACAACTGATCTCTCAGTAGATATTCATTTGAAAATAGTGTGGCCTTGATCAGTGAGAAGGGGAAGGAGAGAAGTGACTTTTTTGCTTATGTAGAAATGACTTGTTTGCTAAGAGTTGTTATTCTGTAGCACTCTTAGTATAATGTGTTTGATCAGTCTCCTTTTTGATTGGGGAACGTTAATGTTTTTGACCCTGGAGTTAATTCAATTGAGTTTTCTTCTATTTTTAGGAAGTATCAGAATTGCTCTGATGAATGACAAAGTTGACTGCTTTGATGTCCAATCTCAGGTTTTAGAATTTAGTGGTGAAAAAATCCACTATTATTAATTCTCAAAACAGTTTTAATTTAGTGTACCCTAAAAATTACATGCATAAGGCCTGTTCAGAGAGCAGAGCCTTCATCTTTTTGCTCCTTTTCCACTTTGTATAATCACTTGAAAAAGTGTCAAGTGATTTTGCATTGTATATTTCCATTTTAACCCTGACACAGTTCTCAAAGATAAAGCACTTTTTGATCATGAAATACATGGAATCCTTGTGTGATGTGGATCATGGTTTCTCAGGCTCCCCTAGATAATCTGCTTATGAATATTGTTCTGACTCTATGTAAGAAGAGTAGAAATCTTTGCTAGTGTTAGAAAGTTTGTATTATTGATCCAGAATGCATTTTGCTAGTTTCCAATGGATGGGAGAGTAAATAATGCTGCATTCACAAATTAATAAGTTACTTTCCCTTGAGCCTTAAGGTAACTTTTTCTTTTCTGTCAACAACAGCACTGAAGTTATGGTAAATGAATGAGATTATCAGTTTTCAGGGTTAGTTTTAGAGTACTGTAAATCAATTAGCTGTCTTCCTAAAGAGTTAAAACTCCCATTCAATATACTGAATAATGAGTGTGGGGGTGGGGCGGGGGGGGATAGTTTGTAGAAAAGAAAAAAGAAAAAAAGAACCATGTTTACCTTAAGATATAGACTCAAAAGAGAAAAAGTTCATGTCATATGTCCCACTTGAAATTCCAGATAGTAAGGTGGAAATGTGAATTATAACTTCATTTCCCATTTTTAACTTAGAAAAACAGACATTAATTTTCAAATGTTAGCCCCGGAAGTTTCAAGAAATAGCTGGACTCTTGAATGGTGAGTTCTGTTGATATATCTGATTTTGCTATTTAAAGTCACCTTTCCCAGTCCTCAGTTTCAAAACCTAGTCTTTATTACTAATGGATTTTACACACTTTAACAAATATGATCCATTTGTCAGTACTGAAAATTTGGAAACAGAAAAATTGCATCCCAAAGACCTATACCCTAATGATTCCCAATTGATATCTGTACCCCTGACTAAGTAAGGCCTTTTTGAATGTATTTTATATTTTTGGATGTAGGGAATATGCCATCAGTGTAATCACCTCTATTCACAATCTTTTACTTTCACTTGAAAATCTAACTCATGCCTCTTTAATTAGACATTCCATTTGAGATAGGTAGACCTATATTGAAACAACAGCAAATTCCATATTGATGGTTTCACTTTTCAGTAAGACTTCTAATAAAGGGAGAGCAGAGCTTCATTAGAAGCTAAAAACTATCATTTTTTCCCCATAAGTAATTCTAACAAAGTTTCATGAAATATTTTAATTAACAGAAATTTTGAATAGGCAAATTTTATTTCCCTGTGTTGTATCTAATACCCAGTAACTTGGATAAAAGGTGGCTGATCATACCTTTTTTTGTGTGTGTGCGATGAAATGTGGGTCCAGTGTACTAGAGAGAAAGTAATAGACCTGTTTGGTGTCCACTAGCATATTACAGAAGGCATGAGTTTAACCTTTTTTTTCCTACCTTCAATAACTTTAATGGCTGAGTCTTTCAAGAAAAATTAGTTAGACCATATATTAAAGGCAAAATGTTTTGTACACTGTGTTGCAAGATCAGGCTGGTTAGTAAAATCTTAATATTTGGAAATAAAATAGCAAGTGGTTTGTTTCTTCCCCCTTTAAAATTTCTTTTTAAAAAGCAAAAATGTAGGAAGAGCCTCAAGAAAATTAAAGAACATAATTATGTCAGTAAATGCGTTTGTGTTGTAGGAATTTGGGAGTTTCATTTTAAACTGATATTAGGCATAAGCCCTTTTCTCCCAGCCCACGTCTCCCCTGTGTACAAAAGTTCTCAGAATTTCTAAAAGCCAATATATAACCGCAAAAATCTAGAAAGTGACTTTAAATCAGTATCAATATACATTATAGAGAGTCCATGGTTTTGCACATTTTGGTAGCAGGCAAGTTTATTTGAGTTATTTTTCAGTGACTTATATGAATAGTAACTATTATCAACAGTGTATTTGAACTTTTTTTCTGAAGTCTAGAATAATTTTATTAGTTGGCATTTATTCTTCCTTTTGAATCTTCATGCAAATGTG